ATCAAAACTGACAAGAATGATGGTAGGTCTGAAGTCTCCAGAAAGAGTCAATCTAGGTGATGATTTTCTTATTGAATATTCTGAATGATCAGGATGTTAACAGATGAGAGGAAGGAGGGGTAGCAAAGAGATACCAACAATCCCTCCCAACACCAGAGATTAAGGTTTTAGCAGAACACCCAGCTTCACTGTACTTAGGGATTAGGAAAGAAAGCTACCATTTCATGAGGTGAATGGAAGCTGGAGTTACCAAGTGTGCAGAGAAATGCAAATATGCAAGAGGAAGGAGCTTAGAGAAGTGTGAGGACACAAATGTGGGACAAGAAGGACCAGACTGCCGGATGGGTCTGAATGTTAGTGGTAACTGAATTCTACAGGTCTGAGCAACATGGGGGAGCTTTATGTGTCCAACACTGCCCCTCTGTCAAGGCATATCTTGGCAATGTCACATGGCACTGCCTTGCATCTTCCTATGTTTTCAACTCCTCTTCTCTTCTTGAAGCCCAAATGATTTACATTAGTGAGTCTATAAATTTGATGACAAGCCAAATATTGAAAATGTGCGGGTCATTTGGTCTTGCAAGCTTCTGAATTGTTATGAACTTCTTATGTCACATACTAGGTTCTTATAAACACTTGGGTGTGTGACTTCTGGTCTCAATTAAAAAAAAAAAAATCTAGCCCCCTGGCTCAAGTCAGCGCATAAGAGCTAGTTACTTGGGCCTTGCTGTTTAGTCCCTAGACAGACTGCAGTGAGCAGGCTGAATAAATCTGTCTTATTTCTGAAAGAAATGGGGGGGAAAGATCACTCTGGCTAGTGTTTATAATGAACTGGATTATTCAGAAGCAAGAAGAGAAATGGGAAGGGTATGAGAGCACGTTGACTTGGACAAGACTGGTCATGGTAGAGATGGAGGAAAGTAGATGGATTCAGTAAGTTTTGGGAGTGAACGGCTTGCTGGTAAACTGAATAGGAATTTGAATGCACTTCCAGAAATTCTACCAATCATTGGGTTTGCAAACTTCTTTTATAAAAATGCAAATACATGTAAGAGGCTTATGACTGGGGTGAGGGTATAATTTAGTTTGAATTAGTTCCATCAGCTTACTTTATTCTATCACCTAGCTGAAGTCAGTCATACTAAAGAGGTGAGGGTTTTACTTGGGGAAAGAATGTTTTGCGCAAAGAATATAATCGCGTGTGGGACAGAAGTGGAAAGGCAGAAGCATGAAGGCACATTCAGAGGACACACGGAGGGGTGTCAGCATTTGAGAGCATGGAGAAGAAGCAAACTCTGGTCTTCTCTGAAAGTCTGCCTGATTGCCTCATAGAGCTGTGTCCCCAATTTTCTTTAATACTGGGAACCTCATTACTCACATTCTTGTTTGAAAGAGAACATTACTGTAGAGGACAGGAAAAAATGAAATCAATAAAAATTCTCAAACAGTACTAAGCATTGATAATTTCCATGTTGCTTTGTTTAAATTCAAGCTAGTCTACTTGATTCCCTGACAATATTTCACTGGTATCATATGATAGACAGAAATTTTTAGACCTAGAATTTTAAAAACGATCACCAATTCCATGTGAGATAAATAACTAATATTGGTTGATATTTTAAAATAAGTTCAATTATGTTATTAAAGGACATATTTTATATTCAGTAGTAAATATTTATATTGTTTAAAAGTCCAGGTTTGTTGACATACAACAAAAGAGGTAAACTCTGTTTATCATTTTCCTTTTCCTTTTCTTTTTTTATATATTCACATGTTACTGAAAAGATGAGGCCAGAGATCTTAAAATGTTCAAAATGCTATCTTTGAGTACAAGTTTGGGTACATTTCAAATTTCACATGAAATCTAGTAATCAGAACTAAGATAAAACTGGAAAGAATGAGTAATAGCCGAAACTTTGGCACACTACTAACCAAGGCTTCTTGGATGGCATAAAAGAGAACAAAAACAACTGACAACTCAAAACAGTTTCCCTGGTGTTTTGTTTCATACTTATATTTCAAATATAGAAAAGAATTCTTTTTATAAAAAAAAAAAGCTTAATAAAAAGCAATTTCCCAGGTGGTGTGCAGTGGTAAAGAATCCACCTGTCAATGTAGGAGATGCAGGAGACATGGGTTCGATCCCTGAGTTGGAAGATTCCTTAGAGTAGGAAATGGCAACCCACTCCAGCATTCTTGTCTGGAAAATTCCATGGACAGAGGAGTCTGGAAGTCTATGATCCATGGGGTCACAGGGTCAGACATGACTGAGCACGCATGCACGCATGCACAATAAAAAGCAACAAAAGTCATTAGTAAAAAATTTGGGCCAATGAAAAATTATGTAGCATTCGTCTTCAACCACAAACACATTACATGGCAAGATAAAAGTAAACCTTTGGGCTAGCCAGTAAAAATCCCATGGATTTGTGCCTTTCCATGTGAGTCACAAGTCTCATAGCAGGTACCCTCTGTGCAGCTGGGACACGGAACAGACTGTGTTAGTCTTACGGGCTGTCTTTAAACTGTCCCCTGCATCTGGCTCAGACTCTGTCCTGCCACCCCTGCAAGGTCCCATTCAGACCCATCAGGATGATCAGCCCTGCCTTCGTAGCATCTGTGTCGGTACCTACTGCTTAAGATAAATCCTGGCACAGCATGTCATCTCCTGTCTTCTGCCAGCTCCCATGAAACTGGCAGGCAGACTTGTGAACTTGGAAGAAGGTGAATTCTGACTCTTCGCAGGTTCGGCAGAAATTTAAAATTGTAGTGATAATCAATCACATAAAGAGAAAAAATATTGAAAGGTCTGTTGTTGGACTTTTCACATCTAGGCTGACCCAGTTACCACTTTGGAGCACTATGTGTTAGTATATTAATAGTATGTATATAAATATGTATTAGTTGTCAAATAAAAGTACATACACATAATTCTATGGACTGTATAGTCCATGGGGTCACAAAGAGTTGGACACGACTGAGCAACTTCCACTTTTACTTTCATAGACATACCTGTATACTTCATTTTTTTAAATTAAATCTGTGAAATGGGTCTCACTATCCTCACTTTATAGCTTAAAGAAAAAAAAAATCCAAAAACAACTCAAATTTAACTCACACACCTTATAGGTGGCAGAGGTAAAAATCTCTGGTTTCAAAGTCTGTGTTTTGTCTGTCTCAAAACGGCATAGATCACTTTGGTTTTAAATAAAAATGACTGAAGTATATAGTATTATGTTTAGTTTTACCATCTTTTTAATAGTACCTACTTTTAAAAATATTTTTAGAAAAAAAAATATTTTTAGGTACAGGCATGATGTTATCTGATCTGTATCCAATATTAAATATTCAGTATTCACAACAAATAATGTGTTTTTTAATCTTATTAATATTGATGTTATATTGTATACTGTATATTCATAGTCATTGTCTCCAACATAAGCTATTGTTTATAAAGCTTATACCAAAAAACAATGCTGTAGACCTATTCCTTTAAAGCTACACATCTAAGAAAATTATCTTCAGCTATAGAAAGATAACATTACAGGAGAAATAATTCCATTAAAAAGGCTGTATATTCCATGAAATTACCTTGTTAGTCACAGAGATACATAGAAAATTACAAACTAGACAGAGTGAGGAAAGGAAGACATATGTCTAGAACTTATAGATGATCTTGAGAATAAGAAATGTTTAAAGCAAAGTAGACTAAATTTTTTTTTAATCTTACAGAAGCAAAATGTAAACTTAGGTAAGAGTTGTTTGGGGAATTTTTTTGAAACTGGTAATTCATAGCTGGCTACAAATAGGCTTTCATTAACAAGCTTCTATTCTGCTAACTCCAGTGCTTATCAGTCATTTTGAAATGCAAACAGCAACAAAGAAAAACATACTTTAAAAGTATGTAGGTTCTGTCCAAAATGTAAACAAATGTTTTAAAAATTGACTTAATTAAAGGATTTCTATATACATATTAATAATGTACTGATGGGAATAATCAGTCTACTTGCATCTCACAAAAACATTTTTTTATAAAATAATACCCACTAAAGTTTACATAAACAAAACAAAGAGATCATGGAGTCAGTTAACAAGTGTCATATAAAATGATACCTGCATAACCAAGTTTATATATAGATTATTTATTTTAAATAAGTACCTTAAATTGAAAGTTTAATTGCTAATTTGTGACTATTTTAATCTTTGGTAAATGACAATAGAAGACAGTAGTCTTCATAGTGGGACATATCAACGTGGTTCATGCTTGCTGTAGAAGCAGAAACCCCATGGAAAAGCTGTTAGGTTAAGATACCAGTTTTCTGATTCAACTCAGACACAAATTAATTTTTAAAACATAAATAAAACTATGTGGATTTAAATTTTAATGACAAAGTGTAATACTTTCAAGTGACAAACATTAAGTGTGTTTTAAACGAGAAATCTGAGGAACTCTTTCATTGATGAGTTTTCAAGTCCACTACAGCTACATCAATGAAGACTCATATGCAATCTGATGTTTTCTTTCCACCCAGGGACTCTATAAGGAGGCTAGATGGTAAGTTTTGTCCCAAATTTCTAAAGTTGTCGAGACAAATTGAGAGACCTCCAGGAAGCAGAAAGAAATTTGTTAAGATTGGAATCACTTAAAGAAATATATTTTTTAAAAATCTCAAGTTTTATATAATTAAGAAGCACTATAATAATTGCTTTTAAAATGAAGCAACAATTATTTTGAAGACAAATACACAGGAAGAAAAAGAATATTTATCTAGAAATTTAGAAGGCAAAACTAAGAGAAAGAATTTCAACATTTTGTGTTACTCCTTATTATTGAGTTCTTTCTCTTTGGCAGAACCTTGTGAATTTTAGAAGATTTGTGAAGGTGGAATTGATGAACAAAGGAGCTTAGTATGCTGATCTGAGGGCTCCTTGGTTGGTGTCTGCTGAGGAAGCCTATATATCTCACAGATTTATGCATAAAGAAACAAATGAAAGATTACCTGGAAATCTTTTAATGAGCTGACATAATCCTTCCTTTCTGCAAAGCTGATGCTGTATTTCTGGTAATATGTTTACCTGAAAGGAAAGGGAAAAGTTTTAATGAGTTAAGCATTCATAAACACTAAAGCAAAGAAAACACAAACAGCCCACAGCGTACATGTATAAAGTATTGTCTACACCGTTCACTCCCTATCTTCAAATCTCTGTAAATCAACATTCAAATGCAAAATAATAGAGTGGTTTATTTGCTAATAAAAGATAAAAACTGCCCTTGGGAATTTTCAAAATATTTAGGAACATTTTTTAAAACAAAGACATACTTCAAAGTCATGATATTGAACCACAGACATCTAGTGCTAATGCTTAACCTGTTAGCATTTATAGTTTTCACTCATGCTAAGTTGCTTAGTCGTGTCCAACTCTTCGCAACTCCATGGACTGTCACCTGCCAGGCTCCTCTGTCCAAGGGATTCTCCAGACAAGAATACTGGAGTGGGTTGCTATGCCCCCCTACAGGGGAATCTTTCCACCCCAGGGATCAAACCCACATCTCTTATGTCTCCTGCATTAGTAGATGGGTTGCTTACCACTAGCACTACCTAGGAAGACCTTTTCATTTCATGTTACGTCTGTGCTCAGGTGTGTCCTACTCTTTGCGACCCCATGAACTGGTGGCTCCTTGTCCATGGGATTTTACAGGCAAGAATACTGGAACTGGTTGCCATTTTCTTCTCCAGGGGATCTTCCTCACCCAGGGATGGAACCCATGCCTCCTGGACTGCCGGCAGATTCTTTACCATTGCACCACTTTTCACTGAAGTGGTGAAAGGTATTTCATACTGAAAGGTATTTATTGCTTCAAGTATAAAATCCAGTCACCACAAAACTCTATTTTAACAAAAACTTGCTCTTGGGAAGCTTTATAAATGTAGTCATAAATTCAAATGCATATTTCAACTTATAAAGAAAAAATACAAACAATTCTTCTCTTTGGAATTTACAGATTAACTAGCTATTCTCAACTGAATCCCCCAAAGAACACCAAATATGGTAACACCTCATTAAAACCAACAGAAAGATTCAGTATAAATTAGCTTGAAAATCAGATTCATTTTTGACCAACTATTGATTACTTTCAAATTAATTCAGCCCATCCTAAAAGTGTACTGTATAGTTTCTTTCAGACCTGCTGACCTGACTGGATAAAAAGAATTCAGTTGCAGCTGGAGAAAAGAGAAAGAAGCAAAAACATGGGTTTTAGTCCCATTTCGGGTGGGTAACACAGTCAGAACCTTGAGCATATCACCTTACTTCTCTTTTTCAATTTCTCCATTTGAAAAATAGAGCCTTGGGTCTCTAAATACCACTTCTGCTCTAAGCTTTGATCAATTCAACAATTCAACCACAAGTTGTAGTTTTTAAAAAATGATTCATTTAAAGTGCTTTGAAACAGTTCATCGATTAAAAGTTTTCTAATCCTTGCAATCTTGTTAACTCTATCCGTTTATTCAGCAAACTGTAAACTTCAGCTCAGGTCAGGCATAAATTTTTTAATGCTCTGCTTTTTTTTTTCAACAATTGAGTATTTTTTATTCCTCTATAACTTTTAATGTAGAAAATCTCTTCTATAAAAAACAAAAATTAATTTCTCCTAATAAAACCATTTCTAATATAGTCTCATTTTAATTTCTGAGTGTACATAAAAATAATGTAGCTGATTCATTTGAAAAGACCCTGATGCCGGGAAAGATTGAGGGCAGGAGGAGAAGGGGACGACAGAGGATGAGATGGTTGGATGGCATCATCGACACAATGGACATGGGTTGGGTGGACTCCAGGAGTTGGTGATGGACGAGGCCTGGCATGCTGCGGTTCATGGGGTCACAAAGAGTCGGACATGACTGAGCGACTGAACTGAACTGAACAGAACTCACGTGTATGTAAACTTTCCTATTCAAGTTAGTCTATACAAAAGACAGGTCTTCCCAGGTGGTGCTAGTGGTAAAGAACCTGCCTACTAATGCAGGAGACATGAGATGCAGGTTCCATCCTTGGGTTGGGAAGATTTCCTGGAGGAGGAAATGGCACACACTCCAGTATTCTTGCCTGGAGAATCCCATGGACAGCAAGCTTGCCGGGCTGCATTCCATAGGGTTGCAAAGAGTCAGACACGACTGAAGCAACTTAGTATGTGCATGCAAAAGATAAATAACTAGTATAATTCAATCCAGTTACTGAATTTCTACATTTCCAAGGTTCTGTGTTATGAATGATATTTTACTTTATTTTTAATTCTTTTTAAAATTTTTTCCCATTTGGGTTATTACAGAATATTGAGCAGAGTTCCCTGTGCTATACAGTAGGTCCTTGGTTATCTGTTTTAAACAGATATTGGTTATCTGTTTTAAACATAGACATATATACATGGGGTTTACCAGGTGGTGCTAGTGGTAAAGAGCCCGCCTGCCAATGCAGGGGACATAAAAGACATGGGTTCAATCCCTGGGTTGGGAAGATCCTCTGGAGAAGGAAACAGCAACCCACTCCAGTATTCCTGCCAGGAGAATCCCAGGGACAGAGGAGTCTGGCAGGCTACAGTCCATGGGGACACAAAGAGTTGGACACAACTGAAGTGACTTAGCATGCATGTACCTGTCAATCCCCCAAACTCCCAGTCTATCCCTCCCCTCCCCATCCTTCCTCTCTGGTCACCATAATTCAATCTGTAAGTCTGTGAATTTGTTTCTATTTTGTAGATGAGTTCATTTTATCTTAAAAAAATTTTTTTTTTTTTGCATATAAATGATATCATATGATACTTGTCTTTGTCTGACAGCTTCACTTAGTATGATCATCTCCAGGTCCACCATCCACATTGCTGCAAATAGCATTATTTCAATCTCTTTAATGGCCAACTAATATTCCATTGCGTGTACGTACCACATCTACACTGTAATAAAGTCCAGGCTTCAGCAGAACCCATTCTTGGGAATACAGGAATTGAGAAAAGTGGATAGTACACTTTAGATTTCAGGAAGTCTACATTTCTCAAATTCAAAAGTGATCACTTTTAGAGTCTAAATGTAGGAAAAGAATAAGGGCCTTTACAAAACCCTAAAATTTTCAATTCAGAATTCCTAAGAGAGGCTGGAGGGAGGGGACAGTGTTGCAAAGGTCTGGGGAGTCCACCATAGAGGTTTACTGGTGTTATGCTGTTATCGTTATCACACAAAACACACTTCTAAATTTGATTGTGAAAAGGTTTAAAAGCCCATATACTTGAACCATTTTCCTCCACTTAAGCTAAAAAAAAATCACTCAGTTGCTACTGACTAAATAGAATCTGTAACGACAGAAGGGCCAAGAAAGAGAAGCAGCATTAGCTAAGAAGCAGGAAAGGCTGTGTACAGACACAGGTCCCTATTTAAAACCTCCACCCACTTCTTGAAGGGCTCAGAGAAAATGTGCTACTGTTACAACATCCTTGTTATGCCATCCTGACTACTACAAACAGGAATTGCAGAGCCCTGGTAAAACGAACTACAGGAACTGAACTAATGAGCCAGAAGAATGTGTGTAGATGCCACAAAGACAGAGTACAGCTTACACAGATTTCAGAAACAAAGGGGAGTTGCCGTGTCTTATCAGAGAGATGCTCCTGCCAACGCAGGAGACGCGAGAGACCCAGGTTTGATCCCTGGGTCGGGACGATCCCCTGGAGAAGGAAATGCCAACCCACTCTAGTATTCTTGCCTGGAAAATCTCACAGACAGAGGAGCTTGGTGGGCTACAGTCTATGCGGTGGCAAACAGGTGGACACAACTGAGTGACTGAGCACGAGCAGGATCAGAGAGATGACTTTTCACATGAGATCTTGCGTCAGGATGATAAACTGACTGAGCGTCAACAAAGCACTTGCTTCAGAAAGCCAGAGCCAAGCCAAGGGAAGCAATTGCTCTCACTTTCGCATCCCCCACCCAACGACATGCTCCCCCTGCTCTTTGCTCCAAAGCACACCTTTGGAATTAATAGAGTCAAAGCAGATGACATGACCCAGGCGACACGTGACACCGGAAGTATCACCTCCATTCTACTCTGGAACCGAGCACCAAACTCAGCAATTAAACTAAATAAACACAAGGAAGTAAACACACACGACACTATGGGTCTTAACAATTGTGGTAAATCAAATTTATTACACATATTTTAACTTCGTATCAGTTAACCCTAATAATGTTCTTCCATATCCTAGTGCTTTTTATTCTTATTTTTATGTACATCATAAAATATGTAAGATTTGCTTCATTATCAAGTGGGACATAATCAGAGAAGTTTTCATTGGGATTAGCTGACTTGTATACAATGAGCTTCTCTGGCTTAATACTGCAATAAATATTTTCAATAGAATTTATTTTGAGCTGGGCAATTTTAAGGGCAAGGCAACCACAGGAGAGAAGGTACAGAGATTTCCCATATGCCCATTCCCCCCACCCACACACAGCCTACCCCATCATCAGTGTCTCCCCCAGAGAGAGAGGTTACAACTGATGAACCTACATGGACACATCATGACCAACCAAAGAGTCACGTCTAATACATACTGATCTTGTATTGGGTTTGGATGCTTTATGTATACATGTGTATATGTGTGCATGTGCATTTTATAGACTGCTGTTTTTCCTGGCACAAAAGCTTCTGTATCTTTGAAAGGATTTGAATATATATGAAATAAATGATAATAAGCCATAGACTTTGAGCCATAGACTATTTCTGAGATCAAACTGAGAGAAAGGAAATGTACATTTAAAAATATTTCAATCCCAATGTACCTTCTACAAACCTAATCTGTGGGAATCTGCCACTTAAATTGTTTCTATTACATACTGTCAGAAGCAAAAGTAAAAAATCATTCTTATTTTGAGATATATTTCATTAATAAGAGCAACAGTAGAATATTAATTATAAACATTCAGAAAAGGTTTATTAAAAAAAAACCTAAAGCCACATTAATACTATTAACTCATAAGGCAAGCAGACATATGAATTTGGGCTATTTACATGAAGTGTAAAAAAGCACTCAGGGAAAATTTTTCTTCTGGTTTCTCATGAACATTGAGAGTGAATCACATGTCACGTTGTATCTTAGGAAACTGTTCTTTTCTTCATTAGATCTGTATAGATGTTCACATCTTTTATTTTATCAAAAATCAGACCTTCTCTGAAAGTTGTTTGGTATTATCCATAAGGAAGAGAATTAATGACAAGAAGGGAACTAGCTAATCAAAGAAAAAAAAGTCTTGTTATCATCCACGTTTCTCACATGCTATGATCACTCCATCATATTTACCTGAAAATGTCCTGACAAGCTTTAAAATAAGAGGCTTTGCAGTAGTTCTCAGTGCTCCAAGGACTAAACACAGCATCCCAGATTCAAGGACTGCTAACTCTACAAACGTTCAGAGTTAGAAATGAGTCTCCCTGCTCTTAAAACCCTACGACATGCCAGAGGTGTGACAGAGCCCCACTTAGTGTTATCCCAAAGAGGGGACCTCACTTCACTTTTAGCATCACATGAATCACCAGTACAGTTTTAAGTTCCTTTTAGTCTCTTCCTGGCCAGAGAAACTCCTGGTCATTCATCACCTATAACAGATCTTAAGATAATTTTCATTAAGCACTTAAATTCCAAAGTTCTGAAGTGGTGAGTAATTCTAACATGAGCCAGTGACCTTCATTCTAAGGTCACCGACAGTCCTAACACATACCAAAGAAATCTGAAGCAACTTCTGTTTTTGACTATTTATGTTTACATAAATAAGTCATGATTCACAAAACTTCAAATTATTCATGCTCCAAAGTGACAGTCATCTAACACATATCATTTAGAATTTATGTATTCTTTAAGAATATTGATTAGATTAGGGTTTAAATACAGTGGCTAAATATTTATTTAGAAAGGTTCTACAGTGATATGGTTAAGAACACAGAATTTAAAGTAAGACTGCCAGAGTGTGAATCCTAGGTGTTTCATTTATTAGGAAGGAAGATTTAAGCAGTTTTCTTAACTTCTCTGTGCTTTGGTCTCTTCATATATAAAGAATGGATAGAAACAAATACCATAAGCACTTAGAATGGTACTCGGTATGAGGCTGTGGCAAGAGACTGCAATGTAGGACTAGAGAGAGGGTGAATACTTTCTTATCTTTCTGGCTTCCCTCTGTAGGGCTAAGATTTGGTGATGGTTACTTTCTTCGACATATATAGCCCTTTCCCACCGATCTTTCTTTCTTGTCTCTGGCTCTTACTAGGTTCTGCTATATCATTTCCTCTACATACCCTTCTTCAGATCAAGGGTGGTAAAACCTTATGATGTAGCTGGTCGCTGAGTGCCTCTAAATCTTTTTGTTTCTCTTTTCCTGCCAAAAGCTCTGTAAATAGCTCTTTCATTAGTTTTTCTTCAGTTAAATTCTTGAGTACGGCATTTGTTTCCTGCTGGGGGCTGACTGATATACACAGCAAATGTTGTCAACTTCATTCTGTAGCTAAAATGGGAAGCTGTGCAAGATTTTAATGACAGGAGTAATCAGCTTAAGTGAGCAATTTGTATTTTTCACTCTGACAACTGTGAGCAGTATGGATTTCAGGGGCAAAACATTCTTGCTTTGGAAAAATCAGTGAAGAGATTTGGGCAACTGTCCTGGTTACACATGGTGACTGTCTGATCAGAATAAAGGTAGTAAGTATGGAAAGTAGGTATGATATTTGAGAACTATTTAGAAGTTAAATTCCTTAGTATTCGTGATTGACAGAATGCAGATGACATGGGAGAAAAAGGGCTCAAAGGTGAAGGCTAATGTCTATCTTGGGAAGTGACAGAGTGGTTAACCACACTTAGGACCAGCAGGGTGGTTTTGCAGAGCTTCCAAATGCCAACACAGAAGTGAATTTACCAGAGACAACAATGAATCCATTTACTCTTCGTTGAATCTGAGGTGTCTGTGCGACACTTAAGTGGAGATGTTCAGAGAGTAGTTATATAGGAAATCCTAAAGCCTGGGAAACTGCTTGGAACTTCAGATGTAGATTTGGGAGTCATCAATTACAAATGATAGTTGAAACTTTAGGGGTGGTATTGGGGAACAGAGGCATTTAAAGAATGGAGAGAGGAAAGGTGGCTCTGAAGAACACAGAAAGGATAGCCAAAGATGTAAAGATGTACAAGAAAAAGCGAAAGAATGTGTTCCTCCAAGGGAGGGGTCAGAAGGAGGAAGGGGTGATAACCACTGTCAATTGCAGAAATGTCAAATGATCAGGGGAATTACTATAGTACTCTTTTACTACTGAAAAACAACTATTGGCTTGGACATTTTTCTCATAGATTTGTTAAAGGTATCATAAAAATGTAAATTTTCCAGCACAGTGACTAGCATATTGTAAGCCTTTTGTTAGTTTTTCTAAAAGTATTTATAAAAGATTATACACAGTAGTAAATATTGGATGTCAACTTTAAAAGTTAATTTAAAAACTATTAATTTTGTTGTGATTCAGCTTAAGTTTGAAAACATCAAAACAAGGAATTAGTAAATAAAATCTTAACTACTTTGGATAAACAAGTGACCAGGGTAAGCAAAAATCCATAGGCTATTTATTTCTTAGGCCAAGTCTTGCATCCTACTGGGTAAAACTGGATATTGATTGGTAGGAGTTGAAGTTGAAGGCATGCATGCTTCCTAAGTCACTTCAGCCGTATCTGACTCTTTGCGACCCCATGGACTGTAGCCCGTCAGGCTCCACTGTCTATGGGAGTTTCCAGGCAAGAATACTGGAGTGAGCTGCCATGCTGCCCTCCAGGGAATCTTCCTGACCCAGGGATCAAACCCATGTCTCTTCTATCTCCTGCATTGGCAGGCAGTACTACTAGTACCACCTGGGAAGCCCCAAAATGGTGAAGGGTAGAAGGAATGGCCATTGAAACTTTCTTCAAAGATACAATGGCTCCAATTTTTCAAGACATTTTTTTCAACATTATGGACCAGGAAATATTGGTGTTAAAAACCATAGGTCTATTACAGCACTATTTATAATAGCCAGAACATGAAAACAATCTAAATTTCCATCAACAAAGCAATGGAGAAAGATGTGGTACATATACACAATGGAATATTACTCAGCCATTAAAAAGGAATGAAATTGTGTCATTTGTAGAGACATGGATGGACCTAAAGACTGCCATACACACTGAACTAAATCAGAAAGAGAGAAACAAATATTGGATATTAACACACATATGTGGAATCTAGGAAAATTGTATAGGTGAATGTATTTGCCAAGCAGAAATAAAGACACAGATGTGGAGAACAAAAGTACAGATACCAAGGGAGAAAGGGAGAGTGGGATGAGTTGGGAGTGACATAAATACACTCTTGTGTGTAAAATAGATGACTACTAAACAGCACAGGGACCTCTGTGCAATGCTCGGTGGTGACCTAAACGGGAAGGGAATCAGAAACAGAAGGGATATATAGCTGACTCACTTCGTTGTACAGCAGAAATCTTAATACCACATTGTAAAGCAATTATACTGTGATAAATAATAAAAAGGAAAAACATCTTAAATTTAAAATAAGTAAATATGGTCATAGGAAACTAAAAAAAAATACCTCCAGGTCTGATAAAATCTGTTCACTTTTTAAAAAAGAATGTTTACCTTTTGATGTAAATTTAACTGGCACATGTCTTCCTTGGATATGCAGGGTTTTCCACCAGCTGTCCTAGAAGACAGGCAAATAAGCAGATCCCAAGAGTCCAACTCACCTAATAGCAAAAGAGTATGGAAAAGCAAACACTTTATCAGATTTGTAAAGGCACCATTTATGTCTTCAGATTAAAGAATGCAAATACAAGTAACAATGATTCTGAATATACTTAAAAGACAGTTATTCAAAGTAACTGAAATTCAACTTTTCTAATTAAGCAGAACTTATACTTTCATATTGTATCTTAAGGAAAAACCAATGATCTGAAGTTATATCAAGACATTCCTCTAAAAGACAAAATCAGAATGTTTTGAATCACTAATTTTATAAAGTCTCAATTGGAAATTGGAGAAAAAGAAGATTATAAAGTATTTTAAGAGATGAAGGAGTTGTAAATCAAATAACAAGAAGCCAAAAACACCGAATATTTTGTTCTGGGCCTCTGTATTACCATTAATTTTCATAGATCCTAAAAACAAAAGAAAATATTTTTTTAAAGATTGTTTTCTACTTTTAAAAAATTATATTTATTTGTTTATTTTATTTTTGGCTGTGCTGGGTCTTCACTGCTGCGTGAGCTTTTCTCTAGTTGCAGCAAGTGGGGGCTACTCTCTAGTGGTAGTGTGCAGGCTTCTCATTGCTGTGACTTCTCTTGTGGAGCACAGGCTCTGGGGCACGTGGGCTTCAACAGTTTCAGCACATGGGCTCAGCAGTTGTGGCTTCCAGGCTCTAGAACACAGGCTCAGCAGTTGTGGTTTATGAGCTTAGTTGCTCTAGAGCATGAGGAATCTTCCCAGAGCAGGGATTGAACCTATGTCTCCTGCACTGGCAAGCAGATAGATTCTTTACCACTGAGTCACCAGGGAAGCCCCCAAAAATACTTTGATGAATTTTTTTTGCAAAGAAAAAGTTGAGCTAAGTAGGAAGTAAAATTCAATGAAAAATTTAAGACAGGTTTTTTCAAAAACAAATTTATGTTCTAGTTATAGTCAGCAAAGCTGACTTTAAAATACGGAGTATAACATAGACTAAAGCAAATGATATTTTAGCTATTTCACCAAGAACAAAGTTCTTTGCCAGTAAATCATAGTTGCCAAAATAATCTCTGCAGAATACATTCTTGCATAATGCTTAAACTTTTAAAAATTAATATTTATGTGGCTAGATGGGTTTATTTCCCCTTATTCTTTTTGATCTATTTACATAAATTTGTGTCAGCATATTCCTGGATATAATTGATGTTTAGAAATATTTGTTATATGAATGAATGAATAAGTAGCTAACGACAGAAGTAGTAAACACATTACTTCAGAGACAATATAGAAATATGTATCTCAAAAAAAAAAAACCCCAGAGAAAGAACCTTAAGTAATACTCAAAAGAACTGGTACTACTTGGGAAATTTCTCCATTTTAGATGGAAGTTCAGTTGAGAAAATGAGGCAATTTCTGAACACATGGCATCTTTTGTTGATCAATCCTAAGATAAATGATCCTTCAAATAACATTTAGTATTTGTTAGTATTTATGCCAGACCTCACAAGTCACTTCCTGCATTATTAGTAGCTTCAAAAAGCTAGGAATTATTCAAGGCCATCTTTTAAAAATGTCCTAGAATTTCTCACTTGATAGCATAATGCTTTCAAAGAAGAGCCGTACGGGGGTGGGGGGGAAGGTTGATGAGGAAGAATGATCTATGATGATTAGGAATGAAATTTCACTGTTCACTACTCAAGCCCTTTTCCATTTGACAGGTCCTGTGTGGTCTGAGTTATTGGTCTACAGCTGTCCTGTTGCTAGACGGGAAACCTCTCTGCCCAACCAAAGGATCCAGAAAACTGAACTCAAGTTAACATCTGAGCTTTCATCCTAGAGCTTCTCTGCTTGATACTTCTCTTCCAGTATCTCAAGATGCTGGAAGATAGCACAGTAGTTCAACAGACCAAGGAGAAATGCTGCTGGTGATGGGGAGCTGGGAGAAATCTCATCCAGTAATAGCCATCAGGCCTCCGATGTCAAGGGACTCCCCTGTTTCATGCATCCTCACTTTGAAGGAAACTACAAATAGATTCCCATAGTCAAAACCTAATACTCTATGATGATCTCAGTACTTTATTTTAAATGTGCATCTGGCATTTTCAGCCAAAGCCATTTAATATGGATTCAACAGGGAAAACACAGAGACTGTTTTCATTTGCTATTACTTCTAGCCCAAGAAACTAAAACACTAGAAGAAACCTGCTGTCATAATACACACAACTAAATATTTTTAAAAGATAAGGATATGCAGAGAGGGGAGAATTTCATATTATGGACTACACTGTTTGGGTGTTAAAATCAGAGTATGTTTTGTATTCCTCTAAGTCTGAAGCATGCCCTTCTTCACTACCCAAGGCATACACACAATTTCTAGAGTTGATAGATGTATATATTTAAGTCATAAATGTTTGAAACTGGAGACTCATTTAAATAATTCAAAGCATTCAGTTTACTAAGAACCTCCTCTGAGCCAAACACTGTACTCGAAATATGAAAGTCAATAGCAAAACAAAAGGGCAGACAGTCACCGCCCTTAGCAATCTGTAAGGGATCTAAACATCAAAAGGAATTTAGGCTAACTCATAAAGCATCACACAATTTCTTGACATTCATAATGCTATCCCTCATCTCTCAAAAATATTTAATTAATATTTTAAAATAAAAGTTAATATTTCAAAGCCACTTTATACTATATCAATTTCCTCTTAAAATGAAGGAAACTATAACTCAAAATTTTAAGTGATCCCTTCATATGGTTCTTGCCTAATTCTTGCCACCATGATCTGAAAAAATGCTGATTGTTTCCACTCAAAATGCCTATTGTTATTTTATTGTTACTCTATTTCCTAGTTAAATTTTCTAGTTAAAGTAGACCTGTTCACCGTCTCTTCATTTCTTACTCTCTTCAAGTCTACTCCTCTCCCTGACTCCCACAGCCCTTTTTTAAAGAAAAGGCATTATTTGTTTCATGAGTGGTGCTATGTATTCAAGCTTGGTTTTAGAAAAATACCCCGAAGCGATGATGAAATCTAGAAACTGGGCAGAGAGCAAATCACACTCAGTAGTGAAATAAATCACATTCAGAAGTCAGCCTTGGAGCATCTTGGATACAAAGATCTTGGCTCTGAGCCCCAACAAGACCAGAAGTATGAGTGTTTAGTGGACAAGGCCTGCGTGGACAGCAGAGACCGCAGACGCACGGGGGGAGTACCAGCCGCATATGGGGTGTGTTTGGCCTGCACCATGTTTGTTTTGGTTTTGGTTTTAATTTTAAGTACTTGCCAAAATGCAAATGTCAGCATGAGTCACATAAAAATCCAGATTTCAGCTTTCACTTGAAAACTTAGAAGATTTGGGTTCATATCCCACAAGGCAGCCACTGACAGTTGAGGGCAGCTTCCCACATTTTCTGTGGCTGACTCCAGTGGTCCTGCCTGGTCCTACCTTTGCCTGGGCTTTTTGCCTTTAGTAGCAGCAAACAGTCCTTAGAACTGATTGGTATAAAACACTGGTGTGTCAGTTTTCCATGAATCGCTCTTTGAGCAAGTTGATGTTCCAGCTTTTAATGAATTAGGCTTGTTCATTAGGAAATGGGTTTTGTTGAGATGACTGTAGGCAAGTTGCTATTTGCTCAGTTGGTCTTTAAAGGATGTCTAAACATACCCTTTGATTTCCATTTTTGGCCATGCTTTTCCACAAGGTTGAGTAAGGTCACTTCAATTCCAAAGACATTTGGTTGTTCATGCTAAAGCTGGCAAGGGCTTAAGTGCAGCCTCTTAGAGGCTTCTTTCTCTAAGAAGCCTGGAAAAAAAAAATCAAGACTGCCCCAAAGCCATCTTTTTCCCATATGTCTTTTCAGTTGGATTGTTAAGTGGGCCAGGTCCCACTCCTAGGTGGACCTGCCTTCATTTCTTTCTTGTTCACAGTCGTTTTGGGTTCTCTCCACATTCAGTATGTCTTGAGCTGTTGCCACAGTTATAAGTGGCCCAAGACAGGCTCTTTCTAGACACTGAGGCAAGCATTTTTGGTGTTAGTCTTACTTGATGTGTTTCTTCTGCCCACTGAAGGTTGACATTAGTTTAAGAGCTGAGAAGTCAGATTTGAATTGCTGCTGTATGCAGAAACTAACACAACGTTGTAAAGCAACTACACTCCAATAAAAAGTAATTTTAAAAAAAGATTTGGATTGAGGAAAAAACAGGCAAAGCAGATCTTGGCCAATTTGGATGATGGCTTCTTAGGTTTTCCTGGCACACGGAAAGATGACCTTTATGTGACTCAGCCTAACCATATGCCAAGGCCACACCATAAATAAGGAAGAATAGCAATAGCAGTGGTAATGAATCAACAGCAAATAGTCCTTGAGAACTTATAGTATACCAGGTACTGTTCCAAGTATTTGCATTAATTAATTTATTCTACATAATACCCTGATAGGTATATATTTTTTTCTTTTTTCAGCATAGAAAATTTAAATAACTTGCCCAAGGTCAGCCATCTAGTGTAGGGTGGGAATTTGCATATAGGAAGTCTAGCTCCACAAACCATGTTTGTGATCATTACGTCATTATTGCTTCCAAAAAAAAAAAAAACTGGGAGGCAAGAAAGACACCTAGCTTTTGACTCCTTATATGTATTAACTTATGCAGAACTTCGAACAACACTATGGAGTAGAAGAAATTATTGCATATACTTTACAAAAGAAGGAACAGAGAAACTATTTAGCTTTGGTATTTTCTGAGTTATTGGTATTTTTCATTTGGGATAATGGAGGGAAAAAAAAAAGACCATAACAAGTATAACTCAGGTATTTCTTAGAACCTCACCCAGCAATAGCACCCTAACACATTATTAATGATATCTTGATAACTGAAGTAACAGAAATACTAATGTATAAAAGATCTCTCCCAACTGCAAATGGACTGGGGAATGATAAATATTAACTGGATTTCCACCTACTTTTGAAAAGAAATCTCTAAAAGTATCTCAGATGTTTTGATGGTTATAATAATTTCTTTCC